ACAATGCCAAGAAAATATCGTGCGGTCGAAGCCTGACCATCAAACTGAGATTACTTTGTTTCAAGAGTATTCCATACTGTATAGCCCACCTATAGAATTAAATTTGAAATTCCCGGCCTCTCCCACCCTGTCATTATTACTTCAAGCACAGTATCTCGTTTCACAAGCCGCCTGAGTGATATCAGGAACGTACTTCGTAACTATCACAGTCACATTTTGAAAATCTTGTATCATTAAGACAGTAGATCGTTCCTTTACTTCGCTGCTCATGCCAATGAGCATTAAACTAATTATCAATGAATGACATCTGATACGACTAAATTCCGCGTAGTCTGTCAGGGAATGAATGCGTAAGAACATTCACGCTAACTTGTGAAAAGGATAATGTATGAGCCAAGCCTTCCCGTAAAAATATTGACACAACTTACTGCTGTAGTTGGTCTGTATCAAAGGCTTCGAGTGAATTTGGATAGTAGCAGGTATACTCACCAGCAGGGACCCTTTAACTCTTCATCGTCTTGATTTCATCCCAGATTTCTGATTCGAATGAGAACCCGGATTGATTTCAGTATTAGGATACGGGGTATAAGGGCCGTCTAATAGAAGGGCCCGGAACGTGCTAAGACACTAGGTACGTAGTTAGGAGCTGCTCTAAGGTTTTTTGCATACAATACTCATATAAATTTCCTTCCTCGATCAAATCAATCAGGATCCTTCTTGAAACGTGGATGTCTCTTTAAACGATTGATCATGATATACAGCGTGGAAGTTTAAGCAATGTATTTTCATGATGAATGAAATGAGATAGAAAAGGTTCGGATACATTTATCTTGTTTTTGCCATGTTATTTAGTATATGAACATGAGTTATGCCACATTTCAAGCTCCTGTTCTGCCAAAGCACTTGATGCTATAAGGCACAAAGGTCGTTTGTGATAGATAGCGAGTGTGCTAGCAATAAAGACATCAACGACAGCAATTGATTGGAAATTAGAGTGTGGCGTGTTAAAGTGTAACAGATTATGACTGCGATTTGGGAATGTAATTTTAAGCGAAATATGCTTGGTCTGTGAATTCCTTGTAAGCCCATATTCAAGGGGATGGATATCTTTATTACAAACTATCTTTTTAAGCGATCACTCGATTAAATCATGAATGTCATTTCTACGTATCGTGCGTCCGGTATGCTACTAACGCAATTTTCGTACACGAAGCGTTCTGATATCACCGTCAATGGCAACTTTTCTAAGAAGTATCAGTTTCGAC